GAAAAAACTGTTGCAGAGGTGTCTGTGGATAGAAAGATCTTCCTAAAAGGAATTGGACCAATTGTTGGAGTGACAGCAGGATCTTTGGGCAAAATATCTTTATCAGATGCTAAGAAACAGATGCTTATATCTCCAGAAAGTGCAGAAAAATTGCTAGAAGCACAAGCTGCCACAGGTCACATCATTGACCCCGCATCAAATCAGAAACTAACTGTGGAAGAAGCATGTGCAAAAGGATTGGTGGACAAAGGTGACAGAAACAAACTTTTAGCAGCTGAAGCAGCTGCAGTTGGCTATCCAGATCCTCGAACTGGTCATCCTCTTTCTGTGTTTGAAGCAATGAAGAAAGGAATAATTGACAAAAAGACTGGCATAGGTTTGCTACAGGCCCAAGAGTCTGCAGGGGGGATTCTAGATCCACGCCTAAGTGTTTTCCTCCCTAGACACACTGCCAAACAACGTTTTCTTTTAGATCAAGACATTTGTCGTGAACTGGACAAGGAACCTCTATGTTACATTGATCCAGACACTGAACGTGACTCTAGCTATGGAAACTTGAAGGAGAAATGCAAACCAGAGCCTCATACAGGTCTTCTTCTTTTGCCACTTGCAGATGGGAAAGATCCTTCTAAACTAATATTTGATGGTGTTCGCAAGCCAGTGTCTGCACAGCAGTTGCTGGAATGTGGTGTTCTTGACAAACCAACATTTACCAAACTGATAAAAGGAGAAAAAACTACCCAAGAGGTGTCTGTGGATAAAAAGACCTTCTTAAAGGGAACTGGACCAATTGCTGGAGTGGCAGCTGGACCATCGGGCAAAATGTCTTTATTAGATGCCAAGAAACAGATGCTTATGTCTCCAGAAAGTGCAGATAAACTGCTAGAAGCTCAAGCTGCCACAGGTCATATCATTGACCCCACATCGAATCAGAAGCTAACTGTAGAAGAAGCATGTGCAAAAGGAGTGGTGGACAAAGGTGACAGAAATAACCTTTTAGCAGCTGAAGCAGCTGCAGTTGGCTATCCAGATCCTCGAACTGGTCAACCTCTTTCTGTTTTTGAAGCAATGAAGAAGGGAATAATTGACAAAAAGACTGGCATAGGTTTGCTACAGGCCCAAGAGTCTGCAGGGGGTATTCTAGATCCCAACCTCAGCGTTTTCCTTCCTAGATCCACTGCTATAAAATGTAACCTTTTAGATCAAGACATCTGTCGTGAACTGGACAAGAATCCTGTCTGTTATCTTGATCCAGACAGTGAAAGGGACGCTTGCTATGGAACATTGAAGAAAAAATGCAAAACAGAACCTCACACAGGTCTGCTTCTTTTGCCACTTGCTGAAAGAAAAGATCCTTCCAAACTGATTTTTGAT